AGGACAAGGGAGTGAATGTGAGGAGTTTGAAGAAGACTGGCCAGATGGCCAATGAGGAATCCATAGAGTCTCAGAAAAAGATCACACATAAAAAAAAGATGCTTCCATACATACAGGCAATTCACTCATACACATAAAATAAAAATAATAACAAATAAAATATTTAAAAAAGATGCTTCCGGGGAATCTGCTAACAGTCAGAAGAAATGACATCAGTTTTAGACAACAGGTAGAAATACCCTGGAGGAACTCAGAGCTAGATGGCATTTCCGGAAAGGGAACATGAACAGTAGTTTAAGCCTTATGTGAATTCCTAACCATCAAGGAGACACTTTGTCTCACATACCAGCAGTTGATGGAGATTATAGAGGCCAGGCAGGTAGGATTCATTAGTGAGGGGGCCCAGGTGGAAAGTTCTCCCAAATAAGCATCGTGTTCAACATACTTTCAATGATACACATGTTCTCTTAAGAGAGCCATTATTGTTTATCTAGAACATATGTGTCCATGCCCATAAAGAGGAAAAAAGGAACTGTCTCCTCCAAGAGGTCAAGGCAAGTGGTCATCGTTAAGGCTCATTTTTACCTTAAAATTACCTTTTATTTTATGTGTATGGGTGTTTTGGCTGCATGTAGGTAAGTTCACCACATACATGTGTGCAAGCCCAAAGAGGCTAGAAAAGGGCATCAGATCCACTGGAACTAGAGTTATAGATGGTTGTTAGCCCCCATGTGGCTGCTGGGTACCGAATCTGCATGAGCAGCCAGTGCCCCTGAGCCATCTCTCCAGCCCCTGATTTTTACCTTTCAGCTGCTCTTCTCCAATCTCAGCATTGCCTCTGCAGAACCCAGGCCCAGATAGACCAGCTCTCTTGTCTTCTTTCTTCTAAAGAAGCTGGAAATTTAGATTTTTATTCTTCAATCTTTTTCACGTTGCATATTCAGTCTCTGGACTACCAGCTCATAAGCTTTGACTTAACCCATTTATCAAAGCAGGGATCTGCTTACACCGTGGTCTTCTTTGAGGATTCTATAAGCACTGTATGGACAGTCATACATTGCTATGCAAGCAGGACATTTGGGGTCTGTGTTTGCCTGCAGAGCAGATGTTCTGATCACTATCCAAACCCTGTTCTTTTAGGTCGTGCTGAAACACAGAGCTTTAGAAGTAGTGAGTCACAGCTGTCTGCTTCTTGTCCTTCCTTTCTCATTGCATAATGTATGTGAATAAGCCAGTGTTAAGGAAATAAAGCTTTGTCTCTCATAGATCCATAAAGGGGACTTTGTCTGGGGCATATACCACAGTTGTAAACTCAGCAAGCTTGTCTCTTGGCACCCAGCCTTCTATGAACTTTCCCTCCACCCCACCTGACTTCTCACCCTACCCGTGTGCAAATTACCCTATGCTTTCTTTACATCCCAGAAGCAGCTATCAGGAAAGACAAGGAAAAATCCAAGGAGGGTCTGAGAATCCCACTGGTACGTATTGATGCTTAGGTCAAAGTGCCTGGAAATCTGCAGAATAGAAGTCTCCAGAATTCTATCAGTCAAGAGATTGAAATGGCCAAAGACCCAGTAAAATGCCACCTTCTCTTGATCTGGTGACACTGTATTACTGAGAGTGCTATACATTTTTAAAAGCACTTATTCATACGTGTCTCCATTGATCTCTGATTTGACTCTGTTTTTCTCATCTTTGGGTTCAAGTAAGTTATTTTTAAAGATTTAGTTGTAATTATGTGTATGTCTGTGTGGGACTATGTGCATATGAGTGCAGATGCCATGGCGGTTGGAAGAGGGTGTCAGATCCAGTGGAACCACTGACATGGGTTCTGTGCAAGAGCAGTACTTGCTCTTAATCACTGATCCATCTCTCCAGCCCTCCAGATTTAAAAAAAAAAAAAACTCTGTTTAATCATTAAACGTGTTGGTAAAGTACAAATTGTCCCACACCGCAGAGCCGATAAAAAAGCATCTCAAGAGATCAGAGAATAGTTGCATGTGCTACAGTTTAGAATGTTTTTCTAAAAGACAATTTTTGATCTCCTGAAAATGAGCTTTCAAATATGCCATAAATCAAATATCCTAAATTTCGTTAATTTAGTTATAGATTGATTGAAGGAGTTAAGGTGTACCATCTCAAAATATGCTTAATTGGTGTATTGATTATTTCAAGTGAAACCCAAGGATTTCCCAACTTCAGAAGAAGCCACTCGGTTTCTCTTTCCCTACATACACGTCACACAGATTCTTTTAAGTTTTATTATTTGTGTATGAGGTTATGCTGGCATGTACGTGCACCTGTGCATGCAATGCCCATGGAGTCCAGAAGAGGGTGTCAGATCCCCTAAACTGGAGTTTTCGATGGTTGTTAGCTGCCATGTGGGTGCTAGGAACCAAACCCAGGTCCTCTGTAAGAATAGCCAGTGCTGTTAACCACTGAGCCATCTCTTCAGCTCTGCCATACAGATTTCTTTAGGAAATAGCCTTGGTCATCAGAGACTGTTCACTGGGGCTTGTAGTGATCCCAGATGAAACTGAAGTATCTCTATCTTCCCCCAGCCTCCACATCTGCCACCCCACCCTAGCCTTGTGTATTTTAGGACATCTCTAGCATTTTCTACCCTGGTCCAGAAAACCGTTTGTCCTGTCATTCCTTTACAAATGTTGTCAGAAACATACCCAAACCTGTCAGGATCTGGTAATTTCTTTGTCCTTTACTCTCCTGTATCTCTGTGTACATGTAGTTTTGTTTTTTCATGTTAATTAGCTTATATGTTGAGTTCCTAGCTCTAACCAGAGTGTCCAGGAAGGACTGAGGGACTAAGAGGGGAAATACAGGAAATCTTTCCCCTACGTTGTACAGTGCATTTGTCATCCCTAAAAGCCTTTTAAATCAAGCTTTTTAATGTAGCATGATGCCACAATAACTTTGGAGTTCCATATGGTAAGCTTCTTATGGGGAGGGGTGTGGGGGGGAGTTGAGAAGCTAAATGTGAAGATATGCTTATGTATTGATACTTTTTTGTTTTTAAGACAGGGTCTCACTATGTAGCCCTGGCTTGCCAGGAACTTGCTATATAGACCAGGTTGGCTTTGAACTCACAGAGATCTACCTACCTGGACTCCAGAGTGCTGGGATTAAAGGCATGGGTCATTATGCCCAGATGTCTTGATACTTTTTTTTAAATACATAAAATATAAAAAATTTAAAAAATTTAAATACATAATACATAAAATAAAGCTTCAGATCTCATATATACAAGATTTCAGGTTAACATATATTGACACATACAAATCACAAAAATGTAACCATTTCCTTTACTGTAATCTCATTCCATGGTGAAAGAACTGAGTGTAGTTAGGACTGGCCAGCTAGAGAAAGCCATAAATCACATAAAGGATATCATAGCTTTTGAAGGATTATTAATATCTATTCAAACTAGATGTTTTTGGAGTTTTTACTTCAAAATACAACATAATACACATTGTTTTTTTCTTCTAAGATTTATGTAGAGAATTTACATGGGGCAGTTTTCCTGTTGCCATTGGCCTGTCCAAATTAAAGACCTGAGGGGCTGGAGAGATTGCACAGCACTTAAGAGCACTGCTGCTCTTGCAGAGGACCCCGGTTTGGTTCTCAGCACCCACATGGTGGCTAACAACCTTCTGTAACTCCAGTTCCAGGGGATCTGATGCCCTCTTCTGACCTCCGTGGGCACTGTATGACATAGGTGAACTTATATACACATAGATAAAACACTCATGCACATAAAAATAAAACATCTAAAATTGAACACATGACTTAATGGCAAATCATCAAGATAAGGTGAGCCTGAGGTGTCTTCAATGTGAAGTTTAGAAACGCCTCAGTCTAAAAACTTAGTCTTTCTCTCTCTGATGAATTAGGCAACATCTATTTTCATCATGATTAGGCAGGGTTTTATGTTTGCATTTGGAATGTCCTTATCTGGACACTCTGACCCGATCTAGGGGCCTAATTAACATACAAACTGATTAAGGTAAGGAAAACATAAAAGTTTTATTAATTTTACATGTACATGGGGATATTTACAGGAGAGTAAAGGACAAAGAAAAAGCATCCATAATCATCCACTTAAATCAGCATGCTTTTTGCCCCTATAAAATTTTTGTCTATCAAAGGAAATTCAGAATGTAAAGTTACATGAAATAAGCCCTAATTTATGACAGATTTTTTTTTCAATTCAATAATAAAAAAGGATATCTTGTTACTAAATTTTTATGTGTTCCTAAATTAATTGACTTTACTTAGCCTCCCATCAAGAAAAGAAAACCCACCTCAGACACTGAATTCAGTATTTAAAAAGTAATCCACTTGGGAGGCAGAGGCAGGCAGATCTCTGTGAGTTCAAGGCCAGCCTGGTTTACATAGTGAATTCCAGGACAGCTGGGGCCACAGGGAGACCCTGCTTCAAAAAAAAAAAGTAATCCAGATACAGAAAACGGATTTGTTATAGGCTACTGAGACATAGTATACCCTCTGCCCTACTTTACTTTCTTGCTGTGATAAACATCATGGCTGAAAGCAACTTAGGGGAGTTAAAGGGCTTATTTCATCCTACACTTCCAGGTCACAATTCATCATTGAGGGCAGTCAGGGCAGAAACCACGGAGGAATGCTCATTCAAGCTTGCTTAGCTAGCTTTTTTTATACAGCCCAGGATCACCTGCCTAGGGATAGTGCCATCCACAGTGGGTTGGGCCCTCCCATATACACTGATAATCAAGACAATCTCCCACAGACATGCCCATAGGCCAACCTGATCTAGGCAACCCCTCAGTGGAGGCTTTCTCCTCAGATATTCTAGGGTTTGCCAAGTTGATAATTAAAGCTAACTAGGGCATCATTTTATCTCGAACCACTTTCTCTATGGTTCGTAAGTCAAGACAAAATATATAGCTAAGTAGGTTGGGGAAAAATCATGATATTCTGATGCAAACACATTAATCACTCGATAATTTACTTTGCATTTTACAAACTTTATTAAATAATGGGCATTACTAATTTTTATTACCTTATATACAGTATTTAAACTATGTTTCCCAAGATGCATTGCATTTCCCCATGAAGAAAAGAACAGAGGTGAAAAGTGAACTCATAAAAAAAATTGAACCTTCAGTACAGGAACCGAGGAAGGACTTTTAAGTATATGTTTTCCCCCAATTATATACATCCCCACCCCACCTCCAAAAGAAACTATTTTAAACAAAAGTACTGAATTGGTAACTTTGAGGAAATATCTGAACATGCACACGCACATGCACACACACACACATGCACACACACTGAGCTCTCAAAGTGTGTGTCCTGGCTCACAGACGTGATCTATAAAACTACAGATTTATCCTAGAACCTGCTGCACCACATAGACATTTTGTACAGTGAGATATCCACCTTTATACAGCAGGGTGTATGCCTGTAGGTGCCACTGAATCGTGCAACAAAACACTGTTGTGAAGAGTAATTTCTGAGACTCAAACGTAACAGTAACATGGACATATTGGAATTTGGGTCATACAGACTAAGAAAAAAAAAAAAAAAGGAAGCCACATTCTTAGACCAGAGTCAGGTAACTTCTTTTTGCATAGGTGAAACAAATGGATTTGCACGTGTCTGGCAAAGTCTAAGAATACAGTGCTCATCTTTTCTGATATTGCTTAATCTTGAAAACTTATGTTAAATAAAAACAATGAAAAAAGCAAAGTTTGCAGAACCACACAATCAATATCGACTTTCTTTTTCAGTACTGGTGATCAGTCCCAGGGCTTTAGAACAGGACGTAAGAGCTGGGGCCCTGAACTTTGCCTTCAGCCCTGGACTTTATTTTAGGAATCATAAGCATAAAAGGGTTTAGAGAACACGAAACTTTTATGTTGTTATTTTAAATGAAAAACAAACAAACAATATCTTAGGAATTTATTTGTAAAATAAGGATGGTCACATTTTCATAGTTTATAATTAAGAAGGGAAAAAAAGATAGGGGTTAAAAAGAGGAAAAGAATTATGGGACCCACTATCAGTGGGTCAGTCTTACTGTTTAAATGAAAGACCAGACCCTCTTCCCCTTCATACTGTCATATCTTTTTAAAATAAAATTGTTTAGTTAGAATAAAGAGAGATAAGTTAAAATGGAAACAGAGAGGGTAAGGAAGGACCCCAGAGTGTTCTACTGAGTAAATGAGAATAAAAAGGGGCTGAGGAGGTACTCTGGCTTCATTCATGGACCCTTCAATCAAAGATATTTATAAAATAGCAAGAAATGCCTTCATTTCTCCTTAGCTGCTTCGATTCCACACTTTGCTCACAAGGTCTTCCTCTTCCTCTTCTGTTTCTGTCCATAGGGACTGAGGCTAGTATATACTATCACAGTGAAATGCTGCAGAAGTCCATAGTTACAACATAAAAGACGCTACTAGCTAGAATCTAGCCGCTAGAGGTTTGATTTGTTTCAAAACATCAAAAGATGGCTCCTATGTGGTGGACTGTTTAGAAAATAAATTCTTTCACATTTCTGTAACCAAGGACTCCTTGAATGGGGCACCCAGCAGAGCCCAGAACTCAGGAAGGTGTCTATGAAGAACTGCCCTGGCCGGGGTGACTGTAATGCACCTGGTCTTATTTTAGCTGGAGTCACTGTTTTGATGAGACAGACATATACAGTGCTATGGTAGGTGTTTTGACTTGTTTGGGGGGGATTTTCTCTTTTAACCATAATATGAAGAAGTAATCAAGTTGTTTCCAGGAGTTTCCCCATCATTTTGAATAGTTAAGTCAGTTTGCATTTTATTGAATTTGGTTTCCGTTAAGCCGTGAAATTGTTCATGTCACCCCAGGAATCGCAGTCAGCATGATGAGTGGTATCCCACCTAGGCCTTGTCTAGAAACACGGGTGAGGATTTTTTGATCGTAAATACTTGCTCCTAGTGCTATGTTTTAATTTTTCAATAGTCAACATCATCTGCATCGACATGAAATGCTAAGGAATTGCAGCTTAGGAACCTTCAAACAGGTTAATAGGACCACATTCTGAAGCTCAGTGGTCTCTGGTTTACGTTATTCTTGAGGATTGCCACAAATGTTAACAAAAATGTCAGACATGGGCATAATTATTTAAATAGCTCTAATTTCTTTTTTCTTTAAAAACCTGTGGAAGAATCTCCTTGCTGTCTTTGAGTCACAAGATAAAGCTTCTTGGGGCATTGGGATGACGCGAGAGTCACATGAGCACTGTTGTCAGGACATGGGACTTGTTAGAAAGAAAAGCCTAAAACATTTCAAGTAAAATTGACTTGCATGAAACATGAAGGCGATTAGCATCAGAAAAGTCACTGTTAAGACACTGACATTGGTAAAGTACAATCCTACCTCTATGGTCAGACAGTTCAAAGAGTTGTACAGTAAAGGAAAGCATGTTTTACACCTCTGGTTATTACAAAATTGTTTTAAACTGGTATACACACACACACACACACACACACACACATAAAAATCTTGTTACTACTGGTAACTTGTGAGAATATAGAGCTAATTCAGGAGTTCTAGAACCTTAGGCAAAACTGCTTGAACTAAGACACTGAAATTTCTCCCTCAGAGACTGAACAATGTTTTGCTGATTGGGTGATGGCCCTCTCCACAGATAATCATTCAGTTTGTCAGAGTCATTGCATGCTGTCAGATACGGAGAAAGCCCAAGCTTGTTGTTCACTGGCTCTTTTGCAGTGCGCAGATTATTCAACGAACAGGGTGTGTCGTTGCCATAGACCTTACCAGAAAAGTCAGCATCGAGGATCTTTGGGTCCGACTTCCTGCTCCGACTGTGAGCGAGTTCCAGCTCCGCCTCATCTTCTTCTGACTTTATTTCCACATAATCATCTTCATCTCCCTCAGTCTCTTTGAAATTGGAAAAATAGTTCTGTGTTGCTATTTGGGTGCTCAAAGGTAAATTTCTATTTACTACCAGAATTTTCTGTGAGTCTTGGAGTGTGAGATCAGAGTGTTTTTCAGTGTCCTGTTGACACAAGTCAACTACATCCAGCAGCAAGTCCTGCTGGCTCTCACCTCTGGAACTTTTGTGTAAAGACAGCAGTGATTTCTTTCCTGTCTCACTGGGGTAGTTGATGGAGTCCAGTGATTTGTTTATCAAGATGGAGGAAGAAGACTTGGACCTGTTATATGGCTGAGGTTTAGCAGTGATTCCTTTGCGACCCAGCGAATTGTAAAGATGACCCTGACAGGCGTTGTCTTTGTGAGGCTGACTGACCACCACGCCACATCGCTGCATGGAGCCCAGCAGAGGGTCAGATACCTGAAGAGAAGGCACCGAGCAAGCTGCAGACAACTGTCTGGGAATACTTTTTGTACTGATCCCTACAGTGGGATATTTAGATCTCAAGTCTTCCTCTGGCAGGGGGCAGAAATCTGCCAACTCGCCATTACTGTACGGTGAGTGCCATGGCCAGTCCTCACCAGCACGCTGGGCTTGGGAAGGTGATGCGGCCCTGAGGAGGGAGGGTTCTTGTGTACTGGCCCAGCTATCCTTCTGAATTTTAAGGGGTGTCTCCCTGAACACAATCTGGTCATACAGTTGGGAATATTCAGCAATCCTGGCACCTAGAAGGGAAATATTGAAACAATAAGTACATATAGGAATATCCCTGCCTATAAAAAATTAAAATTTATGAACATAACATCCTAATTAATGTATTTTTAAAACCTTAGAAAATATAGAACTTTTAAGTTTAAAAGTGAGTAGTCGCTGTGCACAAACACCACAAATAACCCCCAGTTTAATAAAAACAGGGATGCTGCTGTATAGTTCATTTAATTGATAGAACCCTGCATCATTTTGTGTGAGCAGCAGGTCTGCAAGTGTCCAGCGAATATCATGACATTTTCTTCTGTTCTGTTCAAGCAAAAAATACTGTTAGTATTGAAAACAAGTATCTTCTAATAAGAACGCCAGCACTTAGGCTCTGACCATAAAAATAACTCATGTCACGAAAACCTATGAGACTATAACATGCAAAGCAGTGGCCACTCCTGGCCCCCTGCACTGCTCCCGTTTGCCCTCAGGCAAGTGTTCCTAGAGGAGTGGTCCTGGCTGTTCCTATACTCCTTGTTTCCACACAGCCCTCTACTGCCGCTGCTGGGAGCCAACATTTAAGATTTTTTGTATTGCCTGCATGTAAGTGAGTGTACCCGTGTTGTGCAATGCTGTGGCGATCAGAAGAGGGCTTCGGATTCGCCTGGAACTGGAGTTAAGGACGGTTCGTAGCCGCTATGTGGATGCTGGGAATCAAACCCAGGTCCTCTGCAAGAGCAGTCAGTGCTCTTAACTGCTGAGCCATCGCTCCAACCCCTACATTACTTTCTAACTACAAATATCTATTAACTCACATCTCCTTTCCCATCTCCCAAGTCAGGAGCTACAACCTATGCCTCCAAGCCACTAAGAACGGACCACTTGCACATATACTCAATGACTGTAGTACAGGCTCAAGACTAGGACTCGACAGTTACTTCCACAACAACATTTGCCACCAATAATTAAACTGTAGACTATTCTCCCCACTGCCTTACTTCAGAGTACAGGCATTTCTAAAGATAAGAACAGGATCTTGATATGCAGAGAGCAGTCTCTTGGGCCACCACCACACTGATGCAAGAGCTGTTCCCCACTGTGATCCCAATACCACATGACTATTCTAGCTAGCATCAAAGAACTTCATACACCCTATGAACTGCGCAGATCACATTTGTATGGTCTCTGTGAAGGTAATTTATCCCATGACAACCAACAAGTGACATTATATCATCATCTTTCATCTTTTTCTTTTTAGTTTTCTTTCTTTTTTTTTTCTGTCTTTTTGAAACAGGGTCTCCTTGTAGCCCCAGCTGATCTGGAACTCCCTATGTAGACCAGGTTGGCTTTGAACTCACAGAGATCCACCTGCCTCTGTCTCCTGAGTGCTGGGATTAAAGGTTTGTGACACCATGCCTGGCATTTTCTTGAAACTATTCACATGCTTGGGAACCTGTTCTTAGTAAATTATCCTTTGAATTTAAGTGGAATTTTAATGGAACTTCTGCCATTTCTTTTAGTCTTTCTTCTTGAGGACAGAAACACCCAACTGGTAGGTATCATGTGCTCATAACTGTAATTCCTCCAACCCCTCACCCCACTCCATGTAACAAAAGCAAACTGTCTGTATTATATACCCATTATACAGCCTATATTCAGATGCTGTGGATTTTCAATTCCAAACTGCATTTAAGGACAAAGAATATTGCTTTAGAAATTTCTAGTAGCAAAACAGTTGGGAAATTCTTCCTTAAATGACATAATAAAAACTCTTTAAAATATTTATGTGTGTGTGTGTGTGTGTGTGTGTGTGTGTGTCTGTGTGTGTGAGAGAGAGAGAGAGAGAGAGAGAGAGAGAGAGAGAGAGATAGCGGGGGGTATGCTACGTGTGTAGGTGGCCCTGGAGGTCAGAAGAGGGTTGGATCTACTGGAACTGGAGTTGCAGGCAGTTGTGAGCTGCTTCATGGTGCTGGAAGATGAACTTGGGTCCTCTGGAAGAGCATCAAGCATTCCTAACTCCTAAACCATCTCTCCAGCCTATAGTAAAGACTCTTAATACCAATTAAGATTTAGCAGCACCTTAAGAGAAAGCTTGTACAAATCTACTTGTATGCCAGTGTCCTATGTCAGCCACCTTTTAAAAACTTGGCATGTTGCATTGACTATCCAATCAAAGGGGGTCACAACTTCAGACAAAGTCTGATGGCTCTACCCAAGCCCTTCCCTCACATGCTGTAGCCCTGAGCCCATCCCACAGCTCAACTAGGAGGTTCTGAACTCACAAGTTTCCAAGGGGATGATAATTTTAGGGAAAGCACAAGTAATTCAAACTCAAACCAAACTATTGTATAAATTTAACTCTAAAGTCTCAATAAGAGCAACAAGCTCTTGACTTTAGCTTAGCTGATCTGAAATCACATATGGTCTAAAATAGTCATAGTATTTACTATGCCTTTCCCTTTAGTCCTTCTTCTTCTTTGTGTAATTAAGCAAGTCTTACCCATCTCTCAAAATCTCTATGAGGTCTAGTCTACTCAAAATTCTGATTTTTTTAAAAAGCCTTACATGTATAAACTCATACATATGCCCCAATATAGAAGTTGCTGCTAATTGTTCTTTCAGAGGCTATTTTATTATTTCATGTGGTCCAAGAGCTACTGATTTCAGAGAACAATATTGCACACTCTGCTTGAGCACCAACCATAGTGTCTAAACAGAAATCAGTATCAAGAACTGTTTCATTGCCCAGTCACTTTTTTCACCCCTTCCTCTTAAACATAGGATTTCAAAATGATGGGCTTTTCCTGAGACCCAGCTAGTGAATGGCAAGACAGCTTGGAAGTCAGGTCACATCAGGAAAGGGGGCAGTGTAGGAAGATGGCCTTGGATTAAAATACTTCCCATAGATAACTCAAATGGGGTAGTTTAATCTTTAGATAACAGAGTGGACCATTTATCAATTCTGAATAAAATGCATCTCACCAGAAGAGAACCCTTATCTCAGTTTTCTATTTTTTTTTTTTTGGTCTCAACTTTACCATCTAAGAGTATATTTATATCTTGCATTATGTGGGTATAAACAAATAAGCTTCAAGAGCCCCAGCTATGATTCAATAAGACTGTATTTGCCAGATGCATGGGCTACAGTTGGCCTCGGTTGGCTTCTTCAGCCCAGAATGCTCAGAACTAGTCAGCTAGGTGAAGGTTTCCTGTGGCCTCAGTGTTGGCATTAATTGTCTGTCTAGGACTTGCACATTATTGCTACATGACAGACAATCTCAGGCCTACTCTGTTTTATTTCCTTTTCTGAAGGTTTGAGAGTTGGAATTCTTATCATCAAAGATAAAAATTGAAGTCATCCTTGCCAAGGGAAATATCAAACATGCTGTTTCTAAGACAGAGGAAAATCGATATTTCTGATGTTGCTGAGATGTAGACATAGCATAAAATTGTGCCATCCCCATTTGACACAAAAATTTCTCAAGTCTATATGGAAACATCAGCAAGAATACAGGAGCGAGGTCACTGAACAAGATGGCGACATGTATAGAAGACTCTAAAAGGTGGGAGCAACAAGACCTGGTTGGGTGGACTTATAGGTGGAAATGTGACCCAGGGCCTGTAGACCCCGGGGAGAGAGTTCAATAAAGATGCTGGAGAGTTTCAGCAGGTGAATAGGGCGCTCCTCCTTCCGCACAACACCGAGAGCAAGCTCCTGGCAAAGTGGCAAGGCCCACACGCAGAAGTCTGGAGAATCGGTCCATTCGATTACGATGTCCTGTGCCCAGATAAACAAGAGAGAGAAAAGGAGTCATCACGTCAACTGATTGAAAGCCTAGTGGGCACAGGAAATGGTCTCGATCACCCAGATGGAGCCAGGCCCGAGAGATGGCAGGCCTTAGGGACATGTTCCTGCCATGTGGCAGGGGAAGACAGCACTCTCAGAAGATGTCTTGGGAAAGACCGCTCCTCTTTGTTGGGGGAGGACATCAGTAGTAACCTATCATATTGAGAAAAGACCCAGATGCAAAGCTGAGAAGAGATCCCATGGGATTCCCAGAAGCCATCTGAAGACAAAGTTAAGGAAGCAAAAAGCAAACCCTGTCTGAAATCACAATACTAAAATATGCATAAAAAGAAGTCTATTCATATTAGTTAAGTACTGATCCTTTACTTCCAAAGGGCTTGTTTCAAGCAAGGTAAGAGTTCTGCATCTTAGTGGCTGGCTTGCATTCCAGGTGGTCTGGCCCTGACAATTACTGCTATTTAAACAATAGCCTGCTGGCATGATCAACCAGTCATCATCGGAAATCTTAGTATTGTGTTTTCTCTGAACCTGAGAGACTCCAGCCCAGAATCAGCCAGGGGCTGAAATGACCAATGTCCACTGTTCCTAAGGCCACCTTTGCTTCTCTCATATAGCCCTCCTGCAGCTGAAACTCAGTCCAGTTCTATAAGTATAACAACCACATAGCAACAAGAATACTGGGAAGAGAACGTAAGTGACTTCTAGCATGTCATTACAAGGAAGAAGATAAATACAATCTAGTCTCATATTCACACAAGCATCACTTTTTACCTTTTTTTATTAAAAAGAACTCAAAGAGCCTGTAAAATCCTTCAGAAATCAAGTTCAAGCCTTCATTCCTTTAAGTGACAGGAAACTTTACTGAAAATTAAAGCTTTTGACATTTCTTTAATACTCCCAAACTTTACAATCCCTACAGATTTTTTCTCATGGGACTTGTGACTTCACTGAGGTTTTAGACATCCCCTCTCTACTCTTTAGTTTCTATGGAGAGAAATAAGTCATTTTGAAGAAAGGCGGTTAGTGGTGTCCATATGTCTAAGTGATGCTGACCTGTCTGAATGCCAAATGTGCTTTGTTATGAGGCTGACCCTCCTGATGCCAGGCCATCTGGTTGTAATTTTTAATTTGTTTTTTGAGACAAGGTTTTCCTATGTTGTCCAGGCTAGACCCAAATTAAGATCCTCCTGCCCTAGCCTTCTGGGTGCTGGAATTACAGGTATGTATCACTATGTCTGGTCCAGGCTTTGCTTTTAATTGGAAAACTGACTCCTGTCTTTTCATACTGAGGTAATTCTTTGTCAGAAAAAGCAGGGAAAATTTCTGTTCCTCTTTTTTTAATATTTTATTTATTATTTTTATTTTATGTGTATGAGTGTATTGCCTGCATGTCTGTAAGTGCATCTATGTTATTGCAGTGCCTGTGGGGGCCAGAAGAAGGTATTGGATTCCCCTGGAACTGGAATTAAAGATGGTTGTTAGCCATAATGTGGGTGCTGGGAACTGAACCTAGGTCTTCTGCAAGAGCAGCCAGTGCTCTTAACTGCTGAGCCATCTCTCCAGCTCCCCCTGCCCCCACTGCTTTTTAAAACAGGATCTCACTATAGCCTGGGCTATAGTGAACTTGGTAGAGTTTACACACAGATCCTCCTGCACCTGCCCCTTGAGGGCTGGCCTATGTATGCACGAAGCCTTGGGTTAGATCCCAGCACCACATAAAAGTGGGTATGGGGGTGAATACCTATAATCCCAGCATTTAGGAGGTGAAGGCAAGAAGATCAGAAGGTCAAGAGGTTTTGCCATCTAGTGAGTTCAAGGCCAATCTGGACTACATGAGACCTTGTTGAGAGAGAGAGCGAGAGCAAGCGAGAGAGAGAAAGAGAGAGAGAGAGAGAGGAGAGAGAGAGAGAGAGAGAGAGAGAGAGAGAGAGAGAGAGAAACAGCAGACTCCTGGCCCCAGTCCTGGAAATCTGTGCCTGGAGTTGAAAAACTCTGCTAGTGAGAGCCACCCCCTTGTGCTTTTTCTGTCATGAAGCCTCATGCTTTATTTGCAACTCAGAGCTTTCCTCCAAGATCAGTGTTTCATTCTAGCCTTCAAAATACCACAACACAAACCACTTGCTTTGGTATCCCTCATCTTACCAACATCACATCTAAAATCCTAGTTATGTTCACAAAGGAAATCTGACTGAAGAATTAAACTTCCTGGAAACAGATGATGAACCCAAATGAGACAACATTCAATGCACAACAGCAGCTATTTAAAAAACTGATAGTAGCTCAAATATGTGGGAACAACCAAACTGTAGTGTGAACAGTTAACAAAAAAGAAAAAAAAAAGACTTGTCATTGCTAGGAGGAGTGGTCACTTGTGTGTTTGATGTACATATTTGTGGGTGTGTGCATGTGTGTGTGTGGTTACAGATATGCATACACAACATGTGGAGGCCAGAGGTTGATGTTGGTTGTCTTCTTTGATTGCCTTCTACCTTATCTGCTGAGATGGTATCACTTGTTGAAACTGGAACTCAATGATTGGCTGAACCGAATGTCCATCCATCTCCAGTGACCCTCCTGTCTCTGCCTTCCCAGCCCTGGGATTTCTGGCATGCCCACTGCACCCAGGTGCAAAGATGAGCTTAGAGCAACTTTGAGCTGAGCAGAGATACACTGTCCATGGATGCTGGAGTTCTCAACTCAGTTCTCAGGCTCGTGTGGCAAGTACTTTACCAACTGAGCCATCTTCCCAGTGCCACAAGTGGCTACTTTTGTTCAGGTTCTGTAACAAAACCAACTCTATATGCCTTCCAACCTTAACAGCTCCCACGACCCCTGCTCCCCAATACACTGCAAGGTTTCACAAGTTAAAACTGATTTTTTTCATACTTCAGGTCCCCTTAGAGAAACTTCTGAAAGTATCAATTCTGTAGTAATAGTTCATGTACACCTAAACCCTGAGGCCCAATCAGGCTCTAGCTTGCATAATTCAACCGAGGCGGAGTAGGAGAGGCCAACCGCGGTATGAGACTTGAATGGCAATGTTCTCACAGGTATGTCCACTCTAAGGACATTTAACACGGAAGCCTGCTCTTACACCTGACCGTCAAGAAGGAAGAAAATTTCTGCAAACATACCAATGGCAGGTCCTCCTTGCCTCTTTTCTTCCAAGATGGCTGCCAGGTCTTTGTGAACCGGCTTATGATGCTGACTGGATGGGGGCTGTTCCAGCTCTGGGCTTCTCACTTTCAAAATCTGATTGGCCTTCTTGATTTTTTGACTGTACTGCCTTGCCATCATAAAGACCCGACTCTTGGTCTTATCTGTGGCCTCCATTCCAGGGTCGGGGTTTCCTGGGTCTGTCTGGGGCAGGCTGCTGTTGATCAAGTCATAGGGGCTGTCAGCAGGAGGTGCTTCACTGGACAGAGAGAGTCGGTTAAGACTCAAGAACGAACCTTCTGCAGAAATCAGGTCTTCCTCGAGGGAGCAGTTGGCTGGACCAGCTCTGACTACCCTGCTTTTTGCAGGCGTGAGGAAAGCCTGGCTCCCAGGAAGGGACAGCATAGATGTGGCATGCCCTGCATCTCTGCCCAGCTCTGGGGCACTCTCAGTGTGTAGCCTGTCCTGCACATCATCTTTGTTCACAGGAAATGCTGCGAGGAGACGGTCTCTCGCTTTGTCTTCATTTTTCTTGATGTAATTTTCTAGATCATTCCAGATTTCATCTACTTCTTCAGACAGTTTGTCAGATAGAGCCTTATCTGCAATAGGCAGATTACATCTGGGAGAGTCGTACAACAAACTCAAATAATCAGTATCAGGGGGTCCCTGATGGTAAGAAGCATCGTCCTCGCTGAACTGGAGGCTGTCTTGGGAGACAAAAGGTCTCAGGCTGTCACAACAGGCAAAGTCAGCTTCCAGACCCAGAAACGTGCTTCTTTTGGGTCTCCTGAGGCTGCTGCATTTGAAGTTCAGCGATGGTGGGTCTGGGAGCCCTATGGTATCATAGATATTTTCCTCCACTACCTGGAGCTCGTGCATACTTTGGTTAGATGTCTCTCGACCACTGGGAGCTCCATCTTTCTTTGGGAATAGAGAGCTTGTACTGTGTTCAGCCTGCCTCTTTGAGAAGGGTAATTCTGGGGTGCTCTTGGGGCGAACAGAGTCTCTGGATGATTTGAGAGGAGTGGATTCAGCTTCTTCCCGTTTAGCAACCATTAACTTCAAGTCCTCATAACTTATGTTATCATACACATGGTCGATATCATCAATTGTCAGCTCTACAGATGACCCAAAGGGAGTCATCCCTCCCTGACCTCCCGTTTGAGGGCCATTCTGCAGTTCTCTCCGGGGACTGTACTGAGAGCCATTGCTGTCCCTAATTCTTATTTCAGGAGGACATGCACTTTCACCAGCACTGCTGGCCCGTCGGACAATCCTGTGACCACAGCTGGAGGTCTCTGGGGGCTCAATCTGTCCCAGGTGCCAGCTACAAGGACGACTCGAAGTGCTCTCTTCACATAGCCTGGTGGAATTTAAATCTGAGGAGGAAAAGGATGGGACAAACATCTGGTAATCATCTTCATCATCCTCATTCTCCTGTGGAGACCGGTGGCTGGGAAACAGGGCCTGCCTAATTTGGTGATCTGTCCAGATGTTTCTGATGGCGCTGCCCCCACGAAGCACACTGATAATGGCAGAACTGCTTGGCTGGCTGTTATTCCTCGGGGCAGGGGAAGGTGTGGCAGAAGTCAGCTGGGAAGAGCCTTCCTCTCTAGAAACCTGAGGAAGAGAGATGCATAGCAATTGAATTATTGCAGACACATTGCCTCTGCAACCAGACTGCCACATTCTTAAAGAAAATGATCACTAGACATGGTTGATTTTAAGAAAGTTGAACAGCACTTCAGAATTTTGAAAACAAAAAGGGGTAGAAAGGAGAGGAATATTTATTTAGAAACTGGGCTATAGTCAATTTGCAGATATCTTCTACAATTAGTATGCACAATCACTTTATGAATTAGGTATAATTTAACCAATATAATTGTAAGGGAATCTCGGCTCTTAAATATTCAGCAATTTTCTCGATCTGACTTCTTGTAAGGCTCAAACCTAACTCTGAGTCCAAAACCTTTTTCTTAAATCAAAATATAAACTAAGGGCTGGAAAGATAGCTCAGTTAAGAACACTGGATGTTCTTGTAGAAGACCCAGGTTCAAATCTCAGCACCAAAATGGCAGCTAACAACTGTCCATAACTCCAGTTCCAGGGGATCCAACAGCCTCTTCTGTCTTCCATGGGCATTGCACGACACAGGTGCACTTACCTATATGCAGGCAATACACACATACACATAAAAATAATAAATAAAATATTTTAATAAAAAAGATAC